AAACGATGCCGGCCGACTCAAAGAGGCGCACTGCACACTGTATGATAAATGCAAGAATGCACACAAGTGCTCAGACGTGTATGTATGGGCGTTCGCGACACCACCCGAAATTTCCCACAGTTACGTTCACGAAATTATCTACAGTGAGGCAAATGCGAATAGAAAGCTGACATTCAGCAAAACAACAGGTTGAGCGCGAAAACCAGCAAGATTTTACTGATATTTGAAAATCGGGCAAATCCTGTTTCCTTCAAGCAAGCTGGTCATGCAGAGCACATTAGCGACAACGATAGTGATCACCTCCTAATGATCTGCGCTCCTCTGGCGTGTCTCAGAAACGGCGTGGAGTAGCTTTGGGGAAGCCGTCAGCGATGAAATTCAGCATCGGGTCGCTGCCCCGAGACATAGTACCAAACGTTAAAAACCGTGTCATATGCACGCCGCAATCCAGCGAAGGGTTAAGCACCAGAATTCTACGCGGTCCTCGCACGTGGCCCATTGCCAATCCAGCATGAGCCAACATGTAGCGGAACTGCTCAAGGAGGCCTCGTGACAGATGTCCCTCCCAATTCAAGGAATTCAATCCGTCGATATACGATTCCTTGGACATGGCCGTCTCTGCTTCCCACCTGCATCTGGTGAGGTGCTTCGCCTGTGCTTCGACGGCACACCGGGCCCATGCTGCACACGGGCTGCTGTGTGCCGCACGGAGGGCACTGGAGCCAAGTGGTCAGAACGGGCAGTCAGGGCTTAGCGGCAGTGCCCGACAGGGCGATTGGGCGCTTGGGTGCAGACCCTGCAGAGATACGGCCAAGTATCATGTCTCGAGAGTGCCGATGGAGCAAAAGAGTGGCGGTGCAGTGGGATCGTGAGTGCGGCGCGCCAGTAAGCAGCCGGATCAGTTGGTATGTTGCGCTCAGGTCCAGACCGTGCAGAGAAACAGGCAAGCATCTTGTCTCTAGAGGGCCGATATCTTATACCATCGATGGTATAAGAATGAGGGGCAAAGGGGAAAGGGAACACCGCACGGCGATACAGGCCGGGAACAGAAACAGCAACAAGCAATTGAGGCCCGGGCGACCGAAGCGAACCTCACGGAAGCAGCGTGCTACCGGGCTCGCACGTTGCACAGGCACGGTCCTCGCTGAAAGAGGGCCGAAGGAAGAAGTGGGGTCGGACAGTAGGATGGGGATCACGGCACGCCGACAATCAGACGGCAACAGCAACAGCAACAAGGGATTGAGGCTCGGGCGACCGACGCGAACCTCACAGAAGCGGCGGTGCCGCCGGGCTCCCATGTTGGTCGCCGCTGAATGCGCCGCAGCACAAGCGCGCTCCTCGGGAAAGATCCACGCTGTGGGCCGACCGCAGATACTTGGATGACCGAGCTCCCCGGCTGTATTCGCCCTCGTCTCGACAGATGGCGCAGATTGCAGCTGCACGGCTTGTCTGTGTGGCGCCGGAGGCCGTGGCTTTCCATCCTTGGCAGAGATGAATGCGCACATCTGTGGACATGGCTGAGGGCGCCGCTGTGGCTCGCGTGCTGCGGGGGCGAGGCCAAGGCTGCTGCGTAGGCGGCAACGGCTGGGCTGCGCCGAGCCTGCCCAGGGCGGGCCCCGCAGAGTGCGGTAGAGCAAGCGGAGCACAGCAGCCTTAAAACAGTGGGATGTTGGTTTAGGGTGGTACGCGAATGTGCACTGGAGCTACCGTGCATGTTCGTGACCCAAAGAATCCTCTACGCATCTGAGGCTGAGAACCTCCCCGCCAAGTGAGACACAGCACAGTGAAGGTATTGTTCGCCGCAGCACCACAGCGCACCGCAGCGGCTCCCTTGACACTGGGGCTTGAACCTAAGCTACGATGGCGAGCAGAATCTCAGTACAGGGAACTCGGCTTCGCAAACCCCCCTGTGAATTCAAAAGCGTCTTCCGAGTAGCTGGCGTACAGAGTTGATGAGATATCTTCCAAGTCCATCGGACTTGCATCGGCCTTACGTGGACCCCTGGACGGAACGTCAGATCGTTGGACGTGTATCCTCCGCGGCGATAGCAAATATCAATACTCCAGAGGCCTAAACATTTGTGTACCTGAAATCCAATTTCAGCGCAACCCGTTCCTCTGGTGCCACGACAATATCCTGTGAAACATGCTGCAGATCAAATTATCAGGTTGTGGAATCACTCCTATCAATCATTGTGTTTCTTGCAGCGAGGGTCGATTTTGGGCCTGCAGGTGCACTAGTCTGGGCCAAGGAACTCCTTGTCTCGAGACTAGTCTCGTTAGTCTGGAGACCACCCTTCTTTTGAGAATGTGCCCCAACTTCAAGGGAAAATGAAGTCACACAATTGCAGACCAACAAATCACAGTACAATGCCTGTGGTTGCTATGCCCAACAGCGACATGTCCAGGGCGTAGTCTGTGTGCAATCCACCATTGACTTTGCAGGTGTTGGGATCTCTTCTTAATCTCTTCGTGATCGCTTGCGATCTCGTTGCTCCGCGACGTTGAGCAACATACCTTATGTCTGTCCTCATTTTCCAGAAAATGGGCCCACGGTTTCCTTTTGCCACCGCTGAGTCAGCCACGTCCGACGAGGGTTGTTCAGGCTCTGCTGTTACCCGACTTGGAGTTGCAAGGCCGTCCGAGCGCGGCCCTGTCGAACTGGCATATGCTCACTGAATCCACATTTATCCAGAAAATGGGCCCGCAGTTTCCTTTTGCCACCGCTGAGTCAGCCACGTCCGACGAGGGTTGTTCAGGCTCTGCTGTTGCCCAGCTTGGGGTTGCGAGGGCGTCCGAGCGCGGCCCTATCGAACAGGATGCGCTCACTGAATCCGGAGGATCCGGAATGGATGCAAAACTTGCTGATACTTCTTGGGCATACTGGTACAAATTTTGCATATCTGTATAGTTGTACATTTTTTCTAATGCATTGCATGCTGTTCTAAGCAAGGAGCTCACCGCAAATCGTATAGCACAAAGGGATCCTTTGCCAGCAGAAGCCGATTTAGGGGCACAAACAGTAAGATAGGAAGAAGGCATAAGTGTTCGGTCAGCGCCCAATATCCATGCGGGGGAGTGCTGACCATCAGAGAGAAAATGTCAGGAAGGGGATAAAGAGTTCGTCAGGTCATACTCCAAGTATTCCATACTGTGCTGAAACGTCCCGGTATATCCTGTGTTGTGTAGTTGTATGCTTGTATGTTGTGTGCTTGTGTACTTTGCATATTTGCATACTGCGTATGCAACTTGTGTGTGTGCATTACAGAGCAGGGACCGTCCAACTTGTGGGATACCAAGGGGATAAATGGGCTCGCACGGTCGTCCACAAGTGCCCGTCCATTGGATGGTTTGGGCGTGGGCTGCCCTGTCGCATAAGGGGTACACCCAAATCCTCATTGTAATTGCATTCGCCACACGCGAAGGCAAAAGCCCTTGCACCAAATTGGCGATGTCGTGCAATCAGGGAAACACGATTCTGGCAGAAAGATGCCATAACCGTACATGTGCACATCCTGTCATTTTCGATCGAATGTCGAGCGTTGGAAGTGTCACAAGTTTGATCGAAGGTGAGAACAACCCACAGCACTATGGGAATAGGTAGAGATGCAGCAGTTCACTGGGCATTGTCGGTACAATGTGATAATGTACAGCTTTGGTGGGAGTACTTCGACTCTGTGCCAACTCTGCCCGCATGTGTGTTGGCGAAAATGTGCAGTACATTGAGCTCGCATCTCACCTCAACTCCTAAAAGTTTGCTTACACAACTCCAAGAAATTCTACAGAAGTCCAAAATTACCATACATTCTGTGGAAAGGGGTGAACTTCCTTGTTTATTAAACATACATACAAAGGCCCTTGCATCTTGGGAGGCAATAACGGCCACAGCGTCATCCATTCAGCGTGTTCCATCCGTTCAAGTATCCAAACCCTGCCCTCTGTAAAGAAGTGTCTGGTCCATTGACCAAGCCGCAGCGTAGGCTCCGCCATGGAAACCAGTGGGAAATCCAAGCTGGCCACCACTGGTGAAAATGCCTGATGAAAATGAGTCATGCCTCAAAAAACATGGATCACCCATATGCCACCCGTTCAACAATCGCCAAACAGAAGCCCATCAGCATCAGCATGCCACGTCAGCGCCATGTCCTTATGACGCTGGCCGAGAACATTCTAGACAATCGTCCCAGAAGCGATGCAAAACTCAGAACCCAGACACATCTCGATGATGCGGGCACCCAAGCGGCCGCTATGACTGATGGTGTGCGACCACGACTGCAATGCCTGAAGAGTTCCCTACAGCGTAATTGCAACCCGCCAAATGTCCCAGCGGGTCAAAATTGATGCATTTGGTCCGTGCCTGCAGCCGCCACAATCCTCTAAAGCCGCCTTCGACAAGACAAAGCCCATGCTCCCGTGCCTACACCCGTTTTTGCGTTTGCGTTGCCGCAACCTCGTCCACTTGACAGCCGCACGAACATGACGCACTTCTTGAAATGGACGTCGCGTGGGAGCAGGCGATCAATTTTGTGAATGCCGTTTGTCCTTTGGTTGTCGTTGCCCCACGTCAGTGCTCACACTCGTCTTGTTCGATTTGTCGTTGGTGAGCGTTGCCACCCACGTCAGTGCTCACACTCGTCTTGTTCCATTTGTCGTTTGGTGGGCGTTGCTCCCCACGTCAGTGCTCACACTCGTCTTGTTCCATTTGTCGTTTGGTGGGCGTTTCCACCCATGTCAGTGCTCACACTCGTCTTGTTCCATTTGTCCTTTGATGGCCGTTGCCACACGTCAATGCTCACACTCGTCTTGTTCCATTTGTCGTTTGGTGGGCGTTGCCAAACGTCAATGCTCACACCCATCTTGTTTGGTAGGAGATTTGGTTATTCAGAGCCTTCGGCCGTCTGCGTTGGTGCGGCGTTGGTGCGTTCATCTCGGGCGCCAGCTGACCGCCGCTCGCTTATTGCAGCTAAGTCACCACCAGCTGTATTCTGTTCAGATTCTGATCAGTCATGCCGTGAGACAGTTGGAGCCGGAGTCGTCCGGCGGCCCCACCCTGTTAAGATCAGCTGCACCACGAAAGAAACCTTCCGTTTAAATTCTACTTCACACATTTCAAGCTGATGTTCTTAAATTAGCTCAAGAACTTCAATTACAGGCTTAGAGCATAAGTTACATTTATTAAAAGTACAAAAGAATGCGCAGACCTAGACAGGTTCAGCCTTGGCGCAAGAGCAGCAAATCCGTCCGAAACTTGATCAGAATGCACATAACATTGACGTCGATGACAGCGATGAAACAAATACTCTGCTCAACAGCATCAAAATGGCTGGGCGGTTGCGTCGTCTGCTGAAATTTAGGCCTGAATTTTCAGTGTTTGAACTAAATGGCGGCGCATGAGTACACTTTGAGATTCCGAATTTGAACAGAGATGATGCACACATCCTGCCTGGAACAAATCAGCGGCCGCCTGTTGCTCACCCAGAAAATTAGGGTCGGGGCGAGGATCGCCAAGGTAAGAAGGATGCTGTTGTCGCGGGGCGGCTGCACCTGCAAAAAACGACACAAAACGAGGCCGTTACAGTTTGGAACATAGTAACAGGTCATCAACTATTTTGATCCGTCATCAATCCTTTCAACGCCTCACATCCACCCTCGAGGCTCCCACACGACGAATTTTAATGAGATAGCAGAAATGTGATACTCACGTAGAAACACAAATTAGTTTCAGATCGCGATTGGCGCAGGCTGCATTCTCAACAGTGTAGACGACTGTCCGAGAATTGACCATTTTCTGCGGTTGAAGATGTACAATATGTGGACGCTGGCCTCCGCATATGGAATTAACGTAGCTACCGATTGTCAGTGAGAGCCTATGAAGGCTGGGAGGTGAGATGCGGGTGGGGGGTTGGGGTGCCGGGCGTTGTGAGGCCATGCGTTGGACGTTAAAACATCAAAATCTGTGAGGCGATTCCAGCCCAGCAAGATGCGTGGCGTGACAAATTGTCAAGCTTTCACGTTGCCCTTAAGTTCATTGATTCAATCGCAGTGAGAGCGACCAATATGTTGAGCTTCACTTTGCACTCAAGGATACATCCATTCACCCATGCTCAGCGACAGCCTCCTACATTGGCCTAGTGGACCTCCGATCAGTGTTCAGTGGGAGCTTACCTCCTCAGGCACGTAGCTGTCGATCCACTCCCGCACTTCGGAAACGGGAACAATTCCTATGCCGCTTTCGTTGAGTGCCGAGTAGTTGGCGTAAGAAACCACTCCAACGATCAGGTCACCTTTCGGATCATTCGTTTTCCCATCGATGTTGTTATCGGAGGGATCCATGCTATCCAGCAGCAGGACTGGTCCGCCAGAATCACCTGTACCAATAGCAAAGGAAGTTCTAAAGATGTCTTGCGCCACATCAAGGGTGGAAATTGAAACAACCACACGATGAAGGTGGCGGTTGCCTCGGTGCAGATCAAGTCAGCAAAGCCAGCTGAAATCCAGCAAGTGGGTATTAGGAATACATATACATGGCAACGATGTAAACCCTATGAAGCGATTTCAATGTGCATTCATTTGAACCTGTTTCAGGAAGCAGCTCATTTTGACGCAAGGTTTTCTCCACAAAGTTTTGGAAACATTGCTGCATGCGCATCAAGCTCGATTTTCAACCTTCCACTCAATACAAGTCAAAAGTAACTCGCATTCTTCAAGCTAGTAAATTGTTTCTCTATTCTATAAAGAAATGGCGATAGGGCGTTCAGCACTCGCACAGAAGTACAAACTGGTGACGCACGTGGAAAGAACTCCCCACCCTTTTCGCACCATGCAAAACTTTGTCTGGGAGTGTTTGGATGTAAACAAATTCGAAAAGCAAGGATTGAAGCTTTCAATTCGAAATTGGCTGAAGTGAACATTGTAAGCCAATGGAGTTTATCATTTCCTGGCGCATCGGACGCAAGTTTTCTGCCCCCCCCCCCCCAAGAAAACGGGCCTCTGAATGCCCAAGGAGACTTCATTTCCAACAACGAATATTATGGGTGAACATCCCATCAGCTCATCCTGTCGGCATACATGTGACAGACCATTGACCAACACATATATGGTTGCCACATGGCAACCAACAGGTAATCGGAGTACCAATTGACATCAACACATAGGTTACTGAAATCAATGCTTTGCATGATATCTTTGAAGCCTTAAACGACATTGATTATTCTTGATTAGCACTCGTCAATAATGTCGATTAGACTGATATTTTTGTCTGACTGGGTAATGAAGTCGTGTTTGATTAAGAATCACGTGCAGCCCCACCTGAGTGCATGGCCGAGATTGCCGAATGCATGCACAACATGCTGTCCACCATGCCTGCCATGTGCGGACACAGGGTGTTCCTCACAATTTGAAAGGGGGCCATCTTCAGGGTGTTTCCCAGCGTGAAGGCCACCAATGCAAGGTTGGCATACGCGTTGAAGTCGCGACCTGCCAATCTTGGGGTCCGCACTTTCACCGCACGTGGCAGGCGTAGCAATGCGACATCATAGCCCTCCTCCACGTTTTTCGTCCAGTTGGGGTGTCTGTGAGCCATTTCCACGCGCTGCTCCTGGGAGTACAGAGGGCGCTTGATTGAAGAAAGTTCACACAAGTATGCCGTCAACAGCGCAGCCTTCCTCACATGCCAGCCAAATGTACCATGTGTTTCAGACAAATGATGTTTCGTGACAAAGCGCACGAGTGATTTGAAGATTTCAAAATCGGCGCAACTTTAACATTCAAGCTTCAGAATATGTCTCAAACACCAGAACTGATGGCAATCAAAGTTGAAATGTAGATGTTTGGTCGGTCGCTGAAGTAGATGATGTGTACAGCACTAACCTGGACACCATCAGTCCATCTGTCATCGAGATACCCTTGCGAGCCAATGACTATAATGGGATTGGGGCCCACGTCCCCAACACATTGTGACGATGTGAGCACCAGCCTCTCATATATCACTGCACCAATACAATGGTGCTCTCTATATCTCCCCCTGATGCTCACTATATAGGGAAATCGACCGCGAATTGCAGCATGCCAGCCATCCTGAAATGAGCAACACAAAATACGTCATAAGCCCTGTTATCGAAGCAACCATTCAGGTGCTGACATCACTTACTTCAATGCCAAGTTTGACCATTCCCCAAACACAAGGGGAACAGTGCACAAGACGATGTCAGTAATTTGAAGATTCCTCACTGCCAAGTCACTCAGCAGGCTCCATATTGGAGGTGAACACACTATCATCAAATCGTGCCGATCATTCACCAAGTGGGTGCATAATGTCTCAATCGCCCCTTTGGTCGCATTCCATTAATGCATATCTGGTCATTTCTCAATACATGGCAAATGAACATTCGATGCACTGCCTCGGGCTCTCTAGAGCGTCTTGCAAAAGCGCATGCTGGATGTCTGGCGTCCAGCACGCCCACACGAAAGCACAGACCAAGCTTGTCAATCAGCAAATGGAGGGGCTGAGCGCAATCGGTTCAAAATGGGAATCTCACCAAATTTTCCTGTACGTCCATCGATGGTGTCGCCCATGCAGAACATACTAGCAACAGCAATAGCGATCGCTTCCAAATGGAATCTCCTCCTCCTCTGCAATACAGAAATCACACGAGGTGGCTTTAGAAAACCACAAGATGGACATTTCAGAGCCGGGATTGCTGCTTCCATTCAAAATCTCCATGACCACCAGTCCACGTAACATTCTGCGATCGTCAGCAGGGAGTGAATGCAAATTCCTGCTGCCACTTCACCATGGTGCTGGCACCTCGCTCCAAAACTCACAATGGCAAGCAATAGATAAAAGATACATTGTAGTAAAGTGTAAAGTATGACACTGCAGGTTTGCTGGAGATCGCTCTTTCACTGCATCTCGTGACAGTTGCTCTCAACCCCTTGCAAAAAATTCCCTCCTTTTGGGCTTGTTATATCACAAACATGTGGGTCCATGACCATCCAACAATCTTGCAGAGGAAACGCTGACAACACTTAGATGTACTTGCAATAGTCAAAGAGGCATGTGCGCTTGTAGTCGAGGAACTGAAATGAGTGCATGGCACTGAAACTATTGATGATCAATGCATCACTATCTGCACAAACCACCTATGAGCAAAGAGCATTTCCACACATGCTGTCGAATGCAAACAGCTCCAGGAGCTGCGCAAGCGAAATTCATCAACCCTTTCGAATTCCCAGCACAAGGGACCGTCCAACCAATTGATGGCATTTCAATAGAACGAGACGTGGAAGCCTCTGAACCATTGCAGCCACCCCGTCACGGGCCTTGCTCTTGGCGTCCTCCCAAGGTACTGTCCGAGTCAAGCGCGTTTCCAGTGTCGGAAGCAAGCAGATCTCTAGAAATACAACTCATGACGCTTCAAAGATAGCAAGGAACATTGTGATGCCCCCACCCCATCCCATGCCACTGCTGAATCTTTCCATCCGACAATCCTTCTGCGGCCCCCTCCACTCCGACAGGGAGAAAAGTGCAGTGCACAGGACGTGGCACACAGCACGTGGCACACAGCACGTGGCACACAGCACGTGGCACATAGCACGTGGCGCAGAATAGACAGGGTTATCATCACTGACGTGCAGTTGTGGTGTTACTTATCGTTGCGTTAGAAAGATTCGACGCATTTGACTGAAAGGATTCCATATCTGCGGCTCGTCCAGGCAAATGTGCCAGCAGCAGATGGGTCCCTCCTTACTCCCACGCACGTGCGCGTTTTTTTTCTGACGATGCGACAGCTTCGGAGCAGCGCGCACATTGGTGCGGCGAGTGTAGCTACTGGCTTCCACCCACATGCGGCGTGTTGCGTCATGTTGCGTAATCGTTTCAGCAACACCGCGAATTGACACCCACATAGCACCCACAGCCCACGATGACCACCGGGGCTCTCTTTGATCATACATTGCGGCCCTCGCCAGCCGGCGAAGAGTCTGGAAGCGGTTGCCTGCCGACGACTCGTTGCCGCGGGGCTTGCCTGACCAGGAGCCCCTGCCACGTGGCCCCGTCCGTCGAACAAACGCCGCGCAGTCTGTGTGCGCTCGCTATGGGGTGGTGACCATGTCGCAAGAAGTGAAACAAGGTAGGGAACGGGCCATGGAGGTCTGGTGGCGGTGGCCGTGAGGGCATGGCACGCCTGAATTCAGCCGCCGCGAGTAGAGACGCGGCGACGCAGCCCGCTCTCACACCAGGTTCGATCTATCGACCCTGGTACGACAGGGAAGGGGGGAACAGGGCCCGGCTCATCATCTCCTAGTGAGGAGCACGGCGCGCCAATAAGCAGCCGGAGTTAGGCACGACCGTTGGGCATCGCACTGGCCCGCTCCAAAGTAGGGGTAAGATATATTGTAACACATCACCGCAGATGTCCATGTGGTTCCCTCCCTGGGGCTTGCACATACCGCAAACGTCGCCGAGCAACGAAGGGCAATGGCTCCGGCGTCGGCCCGCTGCTGTCCTCGGCATGACAAATAATGCAGGTCTCAGGTGCACAGTTTGCAGTGCGGCAACTGTGTCCGTCGGCTGCCGCCGTTCCAAAGGTGCAATTGCACATCTCTGGATGTGGAGGCTGGAGGTGCTGTAGCTTGTGTGTTGCGGGTCGGCGTACGAAGGGTGCTTCGGGGCGCGAATGCCTTCCCCACGGCGGCCGGGTCCACACCGCGCAATCCGGGCAACACAATGTGGAGTACGGCAGTAGTTCTCTTTTAAACCACGGGCAGGTTCGTTCCGGCTTCAGAACACGTTGTCGAGATGTTCTGGAGCCCCCCCGCACATTCGAGAACATATCTCATCGGTCATTACGTAAACGAGACAAAAGCAAATCCATCCATTGGCGCGCAGCTGTGTGGTGTGACTCATGGAATGGATCGCCGAGCGATTGGACGAGTTCCAGTCTGTCAGTCGGGACGCAGCACTGCTCGCTACTGCACAGCTAATCGCTTGGCACCTGTGTCATACATTGCCGTCAAGACATAGGGCTCAAAAAACGGAACAGCAAAGGCGTTCCAATGAATACAAAACCCTCGGTTGTTGTAAGTCAATGGTTGACTTCTGAAGTTGCGAATCGCGTCCGCTGCGAACTCTGAAACTCCAAATACGTCGTTCAACACACACAGTCACCGCGTGCTGTGACATCCCATGCCAAAACCTGCTGTTCAGTCATGACCTCGTACAGAGGACGCACGGTATCTTCGTGCCCTCCGTAATGAGGCTCTGGGATATCCCCATTGGGCACTCGCCAAACACCTGTTCGAGCACAAAGGAAGCCCCAACCACCCCCCACCCCCTCTCCCCGCCTGCCCTTGTCCGGGGAGGATCTAAGGTTGTAGGCTGCAAGGCCGCAGACCCCCCAAGGGAAGGGCCGCTCTACGCGGGGCCTGCCCACGGTAAGGTGTGGCGAGAGGCGCCAACCCTGCCAACATCCCACGTGGCGACAACCCTAGCGAGTAGCCAACACATCCGCCGCGCGCCTTCTCGCCTGCCGGGATGGGAGCCAGCGTGGAGGCGGGCAGCACCGCGTCGGACGCCATCGGCGATGTGTCGCTGGCATTGGGAGTGGCATGCGTGGTCGGAGAAGTCGGCAGTGGCGAGTCTGGGACCCAAGTCCGCTACGGGAGCGCGCTGATTCGATTCGGTTAAAGCGACCGTCGGTGGTGCAAGGATGCTGCCGTGGCGCAGCACCTGGCGAGCGCACCTGACTGCAGCCGTTGCGGCCTTGGCTTCTTGTCCAGGGTCATGCGCCAGGGCGCCCCTAGGGTTGGCGCCGGCCTCCGCTTGTTCCGGCGCTTGAACACTCTGTAAATGCCTCGTCGCGGCGCCAGTGTCCCCGAGGGTTGGCGATCGACGCCGTGGACGCACTTGCGAAATACACAACGTTGCGGTGAGCGACTCGCAAGCGAGCATCGCACCGGGTGCGCGTACCCACTGAAATGCTGCTTGATTTCTGCTGCGTTGTCATGACGTCATCGTTTGGTTGGTCCCCGTCACGTCCCATCACATTTATCTTCGCTCACACCCCAGATTACATCCGAATGCGCCCGTAGCTGGCTCGCACACGTCCGTGGCTTTTCGAAAATGTCTACAGCTTGATACAAGATGTGTCCTTCCTCTACAGCCACGCACGATAGGTCCACCATAAACGTTAGGCCTACGCTCTGAAAAACGCTCCAGAAAATTCGAAAATCCCTCAAGAGTTGAATCTGACAGATCCTGCAAGTCTCTGGACAAACTTTTCACCTTTTTTGACCATCCATTGACAGAAGAACGTTTGTCTGGCAACAATGAAAGACTCCACGACAAAAGACAGGTTGACAAAAAACCATCTTTGTGACACTGATATTCCCGTGGGACACGGAGATTTCACACACAAATGAAAGGGTGCAAGAAAAGTGGTCAAAGAAACACACCAACGGAAACGAACAGTGACAATATTCTGTCAAGAGGGGGTACCATGGATCCAGCAAGCGATTCATGAACTTCCAACTCCCAAGCACTGTGCAAAATTGGCAATGTGGCAGACGTGGACGAAACGATCACAGACAAATGGCTATATTCCCAGGCTACCTGAGAAGGGCAGAGCAAGGATAATAGACCATCCAGACATGCGTGCACTTTTCTCCGGTGAAGCTATTTTGCAGGAGCAGATGGGGTTGCTTGAAGCCAACCTGGGGTGCCAGACCTCAGCACCCAATGGCCAGTGGTTTCAAGACGACACAGCGGACATGGTGGACAAGGTGCCAATATTGCTGATGGGGGAAAAGGCATCGACATCCCAGCTCCCTGTTATGTCCTTCATGAGATCTCTTTTCACGAGAAGGTAAATGTGTCATGTGGTGGACAGCATTGGCCCAAATCTGGCATGTTGTCGCAGGCTTTGTTCATGCTGAGAACATGACACTGACATCTGCACGACTTCCTGTCTCCCCAATGCACCCCTATCCCCCTTCTCTCTCCCCTCTCTCTTTTGTTGCTGAAGGGCTTGGAATGGCCAGGTTAGCTGTGCAATGGAAAGACAGATTGGCAGTAGGTAACATGCAGCTTGACACAGAGCATACTACTTGGTGTTCTGCTGCTGATGGGGAATGTTAGGCATACTAGAACCATAAACACTTATTGAATCAACATGATATTCAATGACTGGCAAGCATGATGGCATATCCAGGAAATTCTGCATACTTATGTCCGTCCTACAAGAGAAACAAACCACTGAGCAGTCAGCCGGAACAATTAGGAATGCTCTATTCAGGGCTGCAGCATTCGCTGTTCAATGGTAAGACTGGAAATCGTCATGAAGAGAACCTGGTTCTGCCCCATGTTAGTCCTTGCCTTCTGATGTTCAGTGCGGAAAGAGTGGCCACAGCAGTTTCTGAGGTCCAGGAGCCATCATGTGGTCAGCTCAAAGTGTGGGGCCACACACACTGAGCGACCTGTTCAGCGACATTTTAGCTTGCCTTGCAAGGGCAAATGCACTCCCAATATCTCACTCTGACCCCATGGATGTTTGCAGAAATGCCCTGAAACCTAGAAAATAGAAGGCGAATATAAACAATGGAATCTAGCAGCGACCTGCCCATCCAGCAATGGCCCTGTGGGAAAACGAGACTCCCTGCAACAAATGTTCGTACCTGCAACAGTTTTCAGACTGCCTGCAGGAATTGCTATAATATGCCTTTTAGAATTGCCTATCGCTGGGCAGCATTGATCAAATGGCACAACAACACCAAGACCACTATCAAGTTTGCAGTTCCCAATATATATAAATGTATGCATCCCTAGACGTACTCACTTGTGAACTAAAAAGATTTCCGGGCAGTGACTACTGACAGGTCCTTTATATGCAAAGAGAAGAGGGCGGTGTGGGTGGCAAACCAGAATATAGGCGCTGCTTATCACAGCACGCAGCCCAACGTCAAATATCGAGCTTTGACAGTCGCATATTTTATGTCCTTAGTGCTTATGGTTGCCAGGAGCGACCAAACCCCCACTCCAGAAACGCCAATGAAACAACAATACCTCGCTCTACCTAGAACCACAGCTTGGAGATGTCGATGAGACATCCTTGGAGTGGCAACATTCCGAACATTCTGCATCCTGGCTGAAGAGTGGCCCCCTCCTCGTTGCCACTCAGAAATTGGCAGGTGTAAACCACAAGCACGACGTGTCGGCTTTCCATACCCAGACAGTAATCAGTCGAGCTGTGCTTCCCCCGCCAGGGTGCGCCGCGCTGCTGACACAAAGACGTGGTGCAGCAGTTCAGCATGATTCGGGCCTAGCCCTCCGCGCCTGTCTTGCTCAGTGGTCTCGCGGCGCGCCCCAAGCCAGGGAGAAAGATGGCCCCGTGGGTGGTGAAAACCTCAAAAGGGGGCGATCTGGGGAGGAGCGGTTCTCTCCCCCAAGCCCCCACTCCCCCAACCCCCGCCCATGAGCCTCTTCGAAAAGATGGCCGCTGATGAGGGCAGATAGATGAGAACGCCTGCGGCGGGGCCACAGGGCGGGATGGAAGTGGCACGGTCGAGGGCAGAGTCAGATCGGGTCCATGAGATTCTCAGACACCCGCTGGCACAGCCGCGCTCACATGCAGCACGCAGCATTCTTTGATCCCGGCTTGAATCTTTTTGTGCGATCCCAACTAGGACAACAACGACGCACCAGTGTCCCGTGAGGCACTCGTCGTAGCGCCCCTTGGGTGTCTGCCGACCATATTTCTGGGAGTCCACCCCACCGACCGTGCACGTCCCCAATCCCCTCGCGATCGACCAAGCGCCAAGGCGCCAGTGCAACACGCGGCTCCCAACATTGCGTCCCTTTGGAGGGGGGGGGCAAGAGGGGGCTCTTGGACTGAGCCCTGTCTCTCCTCACCTGCAGCCACATTCGCTCCAATCTCCTGTCTTCCCTGTTCTCCCCCGCTCGGAGCACCTGGCATTGGAAAGGGGTGCGCAACGGGCGCCGTGAGTGCCCCACAATGCTTCGGTGGCATCCGTTAAATCCGACCCGACCTTTGCCATTTACACTGGCAGCGCCCCAATAATGGCCAGGTACGGTGGGCGTGTGTACGGTTCGCCAGCCAGAAACACGGGCAAACGCAGAGGTCCTTTGGCGCCCAACTTCAAGCGGCCAGCTGGGGGACGTGGGGCTGGCGCACACGAGCGGCAGGCGTAGGACCTTCAACAGCCGGGTGAGCTCGGACACCGGGCGCTGCGCCGGTGCCCATGGCAACTGGGCACTAGCTTCCTCGGACGTCGATCGGTCCATGCTCACGGCGGCCTCCACCCCTCCTGGGATCCCCTCCCCTCAAAACACACCAGCGTCTGGCCCCCCATCCATCGCGCTTTCCCTAGCCCACACCCCCGCCCACCAACCCCACCCGCAAAAACAAAGATGCACAAATCCGCAAAGAGAGAAAAAGGGGAGAGGACGCGCTCCGGGGCTGCCCCAGAGCGATCGACCGCCAGACCGGCTCTCAGCCGCGGGCCAATGCTCCATCCCACGCGCTGGGCCACCCAGGGCGCCCTGACCCTGACGCTCCTGCCCGCCAACCCAGGTCTGGCCGGACAGGACGCTTGGCGCCGGATGCAAGCGACTGCCAGCGCCCAGCCCAGCATCGCACGGGTCCCCATCTGCCAGCCGGCAGGCTCGCCGAGGATTTCCTTCACCGCGAATCGCCCCGGCGGTCAAAGACGAGCCCGCGCTGTTCGGATGCCGGCCTTGTCCCGCAAGCCCCGCTTACGCAACTCGCGCAGCCCGCTGGATCGCGTATCACCAGCCGGGAGAAGGGCAAAACGTGCC